AAAACAAAACAAAACAAAATTTTGTTTGTCAAACAATACAAAACAAAACCCACACAGGCAGTCACATGTTCTAACTTGGGCAGGTCATGTGCCTTTGGCCTCCTCAGTTTTCCTCTGAGTCCCAGCATTTTAGCTGAGTTTTCTTCATTTCTGATGGTTTGGGGAAGGCTGTGCCAGCTGAGATGTGCCCTGAAAAAGAAGTTTGATTGTGACTCCTCTGCTTTGCAGGGCCGAGCCAGTTCTATCCCGCATCCAGGAAAACCGGAAGCGAGTCATCCTCCCCTCCATTGACAACATCAAGCAGGATAACTTCGAGGTACAGCGCTATGAGAACTCAGCCCATGGGTACAGCTGGGAGCTGTGGTGCATGTATATCAGCCCTCCCAAAGACTGGTGGGATGCAGGAGACCCATCCCTCCCTATCAGGTATGTAACAAGTGAGGTATGCTGGGGCCAGAAAACACTGCTGGCCAGCAAGTCTCCAGGCCCAAGGGTAAACGTGAACCACAGATGGGTGGCCTGGGGAGACCGAAGGGCAGACTGATGCAGTAGTGTGTAAGCTCCCTGAGGAAGGATGCTGTCTTAAGATCATACTTTATTCTGGTAGCTGTAGCTTCAGGTTCCGTGTTCATATGTTTGTGTTAAAAGCTTAAAATTGATAATAATATAATTTTTTATTTATGGTAGTTCACCCCCACACACACACTTGGTATATATGGCTTCACCTTCTACCATCTTAGCTACCCTTGGTCAACCTATCTGAAAACACTAAATGGTTAGCTCCCCAGCTCAATTACCATAATGTAAACACATCTGGGAAGACAGTCTCAGGTTCTAGAGACTGGGATATGATATGGGGGTGGGGTATAGCTGTTATTCTGAGGACAAACTGATTCTTTCAAAAATTTCAAATTTTGTTTATTACTATCGCACATATGCATGTGTACCACAGTACAAGTGGAGGTCAGAGAACCTCTCTGTGGAGTCAGTTCTCTCCTTCAACCCTCACATGTGTTCTGGGACTCAGACTTGGGTCTTTATGCTTACACAGCCAGTGCCTCTAACCACTTAGCTGTCTCTCTAGTCCCAAATTCACTGACTTTTAAAATACTGATTGTGTGTGTGCAGGGGGTCTCTCCCTCTCTTCGTGGGTCATTGGCCACCGGTCCACGAGGGCAGGGGGAGCAGAAGCAGCAAACGGAGTCAGGATGGCCAGTGAGCACTGATGGAAGAAAGCCCTTCCAGGGAGGCTGGTCCCACGGCGCAGTGAAACAGCAGTGATACAGCTCCAGACTCAGTGAAACAGCTCCGTTTATTCACTGGGAGAACTAGAGAAATTATAGTGTGGAGGCAGTAGCCAAAGCCTCAGCTGATAGGTGCTCATAGTATGCTTTATTTACATGTGGCAGTGGGCTCCTATCATCCAACTATCGGGCAATGCCTAATTATCATATAGAAAAAACCTGGGGGTAGTTTTTACTCCAGGTAACTATGCCAAAGGTCATGTTCCAAATAAGGTCAGGCATCCATGCTTGGCGGCACTTTCCAGGTAAGTCAGG